ACACCAGATTTTAACTGAAACACAAGATTGTATGAAAACACATGTCAGGAAAGAAACAGGAAAACTTTCCAAATGCACAAAACATCCCTCCTGCAGTCCTGTGTTTTATGTCTGATATGACTTCTCAGGTGCAATTAACTTCAATAAAATAACAAGTAAATGTCTGATAACAAAAAAAAATTACTTAAGTATATTCATTACTATTGGTAAAACTGGCAGTTTACTAACATGTTGCTAAATGTGTACATAAACAGTAAAATACTTAATATCATTTTCCCTCATGATTAAAGCTTTAACAGTGCTGATACATGACAATTTATTTCCATCTTAAAATGAGGGATGTACACCTCTTAAGATCTGATTCTTCCCATTGTCAGGATGAGCCACAACATTTGCGATGTCATATCCGCATGCTACCACAGGTTGTTACAACATTACGTACTTTGTCTCCCATCTGCAGAGCTACATACCAACATTTCACTGTTGGCAATAACCTGAGTTGGGCTAGATTTTAATACTCCAATCAAAGTGGTCTAGATCAGATAGATACCACCTGTCTATGTTCTAACAAAATATTACTCCATCACCATCTTACAAATTATTACTGGGTGGTAAATCACAACATTTCTAGACCTTGGCAGGCAGTATGATTCAGCATAGTATCCAGCTATCTAGAGCATTTACCAAGCCACATTGTTTGATTGATTGATTTCATTGCAGTAGTAGTGATTATTGCATAACTCTCAGCTCCAACATGTGACAAGATGGTCCCCAGTTCACCATCGATAGGACAAATGCAGCACCTAAATCCTCCAGATCTAGAGGTTTGTATCCACATGTCATAAATAGTTTGTTCACATACAAATATAGACATTTGGGAGTGAAGAATTCACCAGACTATACAATATTAAGAACGGTACAGATATGGGGGCAACTTTAGCCCAACTAAGGACAATCTTGTCACATGTCTTCCTATTGTCAACCACTCCTTGCTTGCTCCAACAGAATCCAACCATACTTAAGAGAGAACCTTGCACTTTTAAAAACTGCTTCAAGCAGCATATCCAAATTTTGGAGGTACATCACATCTACAAGGCTTTCACACCTCTAGTAATAATAAGGGAGACAAAGCTTTTCCCCCCAGTCCATTGATCTCTAGTGTACCCATGTGAAACATTTTTTATCATAATTACTGTATCGTTCAATGATGCCATCAGTAAATGGTACCGGTATATGATCTACATAGGACTGAATCTGTAACAGATGGTTCTGTTGGAGTGCCTTCTATATTAATCTGTTCAACGAGCTGAGAGATGCGAACAATACTACAGCCAAGTGTTACAGTAGGCTGGGTGCTGTCTCAGCTATAAGCTGTGAACCAAGACAGTACCCAGGAATATCTGTGAGGAAACCAGCCCTTCCTCCTAGAGGCTGCTTCCCGTCCCCTCCTCCCCCATGACCAACTTTCTGTAGATGCGGTTCATCTGTTCCAGGAAGATGAAGGTGATGACGGTGTGGGGGCCCAGGCGGAAGTAGTACGGCGTGAAGCCCTTCCACAGGCTGAACAGACCCTCATTCCTGATCACCTTGTACAGCACGTCCAGCGCTCCACGGTACTCCGCCTTCCCATCAACTACCTTCATGTTCTGTATCCTGTACAGAAGCGACATGGGGATAAAACAGTGGTGAGAGACTTAGAAGACATGGAATTCACGTCGGAGGGAGCGAGAAGCATGGGACAGAAGAGAGTGGAAAGCAGCAGTGCTAATCAGCACCTTCAAAAGATAGGAGCAGGAATGACGATGATGATATTGAACATCCAAGAATATGATATCTCTTTTAGCACAATGTGTAGCTCAAATGTCAAACACATATTGTAACTCACTCACTCACATATCCAGGCTATGTTTATACTGCTGCGGGGATCCCTGACACAGAAGTAAGTGGTCTTTGCTGTATTGGCTTTTTGTATTGTTTAACTATGAATTGGCTTCAGTGGATACTTACTTATGCAAAGTCTTTCTGTAAACAGGTTGAGTACTGACCTGGTTTTTGCAATGTCCACTGGCATGGAGGCAGCAGTGGTGACCAGACCACTGATCATACTGGCAGCAAAGTGACACAGGATGTTATCTCCGAACCAACCTAAGAAAACAAACAACAACAACTATAAGTGAAGCAAATACTTACGGTAACATATGAAACTTTTGATGCAAATTCAAAATCATCATTTTTTTTCATTTAGCATGCATGACAAGGGTTTACAGTCTAGCTGAATTGAAATCATTTCAAAATTTCAAGACACAAACCTGTGCCCAGCAGGAACTGCTTGGCTTGAGAGTAAGACGCCAGCTGAGCTGCATTCACCACTACAGCTCTAGACACTGTAGGGCCACAACCCTGCAACACAAATATATCACCAATGCATTGTCGGTCTTAAATGATTGCTTATTACAGTAGCATGCACTGGTGGCATGGGCTTACCCATACAGCAGTTCTTTGTTGGTTACAGAATGTCAGTAGGAAGATGGTATCTGTATCGGTAAAAAATATACACCTAAGACTACAGTACAACTTACATTTTTCAACACTAATCAAAGCCTCTTGGTTTCACATTTAACCAATGCAAATATCTGCAGACAGTATTTTACTGCTTTCAGTTGTGGTTTACAATTTGGGACCTCACCTTTCCCTGTTTCTTCCTTATTGTTTTTATCTGTCTACTCTGAACTAAGGATACTTACTCTCCATAGTGTAAAGAGGCCTTCTTCTCTAGTTATCCGAGCCAAGGCATTAAAAACACTGCTGTAGTTCCTTCTTTCAGCTACCGGTAATCTACAAAAAGGGGGACAAGATGTTCCAACATTTTAGAAATACATGTACATGAGAACAGCATATGGGACTTTTTGTTCTTAATTACACGTATATAACATATTCAGGCATGACACACCAAAATTGGTTCAAAGGATTCTAAAGAGAATAAGACAACAGATGGAAGTTTATTAAACATTTATAAAGAAATAAGGAAGGAATACAATATGTAACAATAAGTTACAAAATCTGGAAGGAAAACCGATAATGTTGAGTCAGCCTCTGAATGGTGCTGTATTTTTCTGTTGTGTACAAATCATTACAACCTGTATCAGTCAGTGAAAGTTACTTGGAATACAAGGAAGCAAACTAGGTCCTTACCTCCCATCAGCTGTCATCCTTATAAGTGAGATCTCAGCAGGAGTCCCAACGAACGCACCGATTGCACCTGCTGTCATACCTGGGTGGACGGGAGACAGTAAGCTTTGTCTACTAGTATGTCCAAATACCTAAATTGTCTAGTTTCTCATGCAAATTACTAGTTAAGTGTATTACTTCTGAATTAAGAAGAGGTCTTGTACGTACCTATCCCAGCTTTCATGAAGAAGTTGGGAGGCTGGCCATCCTTGCTAAACTTCTCAAACAGGATGGTATAGATGCCCAGACGTGTAGTGGTGTAGGAGGCCTGTCGTAGCAGTCCTGCAGACAACCTGCACAGAGAATTAACTTGAAGTTATAAAACCAGCACACTTGTTGGTCCAACTGACTTTGTGCCATTTATGACCTTTTACTCTTGAAGCTATTGAAGTAAACATTTCATAAAGGTGACACAGACAAAGGACCATCAAAAATGAAAACAGTTAGAAAGAAGGGTTGGTACAACAAGCTTGTACATGTAATTCCTTTTCATATCTATGTCTTTATCTTGAGACATTTGACTTGTCAACATTAATAAGAGATAGCAGTTACACTCACCCTGTATACATGCCAATGATGCCTTCACTTCTCAATATACTTGACACAGCATGAAAACTGGTCTTATATTGTCTCTTTCCTCCTCCTTCACCTAATACAAGAACAAGTGTTTACAACATATGTTAAGTCCATGTGGTACAAGAACTACATGAAAACAAAATTACATGACACTTCATTTCCATGATGTACTGTAACCCTACTTAAATGACACTGACTGATTCAATAGCCACTAGGAAATCATGTTTGAAATAAACATAAACAAACAAATATTTTACATTCTTTATCAAGTATCACAAGATAGAATTTCACTTGTGGATAAAAACCTGATAAACATACTCACCACTTAGCTGCATTCTATTTTTCACCAGGTCGAGAGGTTGAACAAATAGAGTTGCACCCATGCTAAAATTGAAAAGTAAATTGTCAGTCATGAATAATAATGGTGAACTGAAAAAAAGTCAATTTTAGATACTGTAAATAATTATAGAGAAATATGCAAGTAAGCTACACTATCCTAGTTGGCCCTCTGCCCTGAGTTACCCACCATGCTAATAGTAATACATGTACTACATGACTACAACATGTAATAGATGACAAACTGAGTGACACATGTTTTTCTACTGTGGTTTGCAACTTAGGTATATTCATGCCTCCAAGACTTCCAACTCTGTCCTAGGAATGAAGTGGTCAAACAGGTTATAAGTACTTTTCTGTAACCACTGTATTTCTTATGCAAAGTGATGAAAATATATACATGCATCTTTTGAAGTTGCATCAATGCAAAAGTAAAACATCGTGACCTCTTTAAATTTCTTGTACAATTCTATTTTTAATCAAAATCATAAGAAGTGTAATACACAGAAACATCACTACATATCAGATCAATACAACACAGCTGTTGCATCATCATACAAACTGTCAATTTGACTCAATGGTTGCCTTGGGTCACTGACCAACAATAAGAAGGGTAGGTAATGTCTATTGTTTTTATTCCTAATTAGCCTCAGGCCACTTCTTGAACTATCATTTAAGGTCGGAACTATTGTCATTTGGAATCCTCAGAGAGAAGGGAGTTTTACATGACAACAGAAAACTTCAATTACTTGCAAATCAAATATCAAGCTCAGTACTAGTACTAGTCAGCATTTCCACATGTTTTCATTTCTATAGACATTAAATCCTGAAAAAAAACACGTCCCAATGCACAAAGAAGATGTCCTATGGATTATGACTGTTGAAAGTCAATCTAGTATGACAGGAGGGCGTGAACCCAGCCCCACACGTCGCGCACTCTGGCTCTGCATTCGATTAACTACAAAACTTGTCTGCTTCAGAGGCAAGCACAGCACAGGGGGCGGGGGCGTGACTACTAGTATACAAGAACATTCCTTTTTGTAACTATAGAAGTTTTAAAAACCTAGCGACTCGGTGCAGCAACAGGAGAATGTAAAATCAAAGCACACATTCCGGCAAATGTCACAAAACTGCGATGATCTAGACGGCTATATTGAAAACCCCAGTCCTAAGCCTTGCGACAGAACAAAGAATTGCAAAACGCCGGCTGACAAGGACACATTCTAACCCAATTATGCGTGCGTTTTCAAGCTTAGCATAGCATTGCACTAGTACAAATAGATGGGCAATACTTCTGTTAAAGATTTATGGGCTTGTAAGTAAGTACTTACCCCGCAAGCCCTCCGAAGAGGAACTTGATGTACTTGGGCATCGTCTTCTTCGCGTCTGTCTGGGCAGCCATCTTGGGAAAAGAGGGTGAAAGGTCATCTTTGTTTGACGTCATCAAAATAACAAAATTCACTAAAGTGTCTATAATGG